GTCGTATTTTTATCGAAGGCAGGTAAACCGGAGCAAATACCTTCATCCTACAGACCAATTAGCCTCAGCTTCTTTCTCCTAAAAGGCATGGAGAAAATCTTGGATCAACACATCAGAGAAGTCAACCTAGGGGAACGACAAGTCCACTGGGACTGCCATTCACAGCCTTACATCGAAAATCGAAAAGGCTCTGGAGTCTAAGAACATAGCCCTTTGTGCCTTCGTTGACATTTCAGGGACTTTTGACAACACGTCATACAGGGCAATAAGAGAAGCCCTGATAAGCAAGGGAGTGAGCCCCATCATAATAAATTGGGTGCTTTCTATGCTAAAAACAAGGAAGCTCAGGATGGAGCTGGGAGGTACGGAAGAATCTATTACAGCCACAAGAGGTTGCCCTCAAGGGGGTGTACTCTCTCCTCTTTTGTGGACTATGGTTATAGACGAACTCCTCTTCCTACTGAACGACCATGGCTTTGAAACACAAGGCTATGCAGACGATCTGGTAATTTGTGTAACAGGGCTGCATGGCGAAACGATCTCCAACAGCATGCAACAAGCCCTGCGCATTACGCAAAGATGGTGTGACGCCAAAGGATTATCCATTAAACCTACTAAATCTATTCTGGTTCCGTTTACCCGGAGGAAAAAGTTATCCATGACAGAATTTACTCTGGGCGGAACTAGAATAGGGCTCTCAAATGAAGCAAAATACCTGGGGGTGTGGCTGGATAAGACACTCACCTGGAATTTACATTTGGATGCAACCGTAAACAAGGCAATGAGAGCCTTCTTCGCACGCGACTTTACTGGAAGACATGGGGACTCTCCCCCAAAGTGATTTACTGGTCTTTCAACACAGTTGTCAAGCCGATAATCACCTATGCATCCTTGGCATGGTGGACAAAAGCGACACAAAGAACTGCTAGCGCAAAACTTTGCAAACTGCACCGAATGGTGTGCATTGGTATAACAGGGGCTATGCGGACCTGTCCTGCTGATGCACTTAGTGCTCTTGTAGGCATACCGCCCTTCCCAATTCTAATATAGAGGGAGGCCAGTGTCTCGGCACTGAGAATCCTAAATACTTCCGAGTTAAAAACCGGAAACATGACAGGTCATATGAAGCTCCTTATGAAATTCACAAATGACCCCATAATGCATATGAGGGACTCAGTAGCTCCGATACTAGTAATTTCTAAGAATTTAAAGGTATCTATTGCGGACCGAGCATCCTGGAGCACAGGAAACCCCTACACCAAACACGGAACTGAAGTCTGGTACACTGACGGATCAAAACTTGAAGATGGTAAAACTGGAGCTGGTATATTTGGGCCGAATTTTAAAAGATCGATACCAGGTTTTTATTTCGGCGCGAACGCTTGTGTCTATATGCTCGTTCCCATTCAAAGGCTCGAAAAGATTGGAATATTTCTTTGACAGAATGTCTATTTTTTTTGTGAAATTCAGGAGGCCTTTCCTTTCCCAATGTAAAATTAACATTACAGGACGTGCGCGCCTTGAGCGGGATTTTGTAGTTCCCTACTTTTAGTAAGTTATCTNGATTGGAATATTTCTTTGACAGAATGTCTATTTTTTTTGTGAAATTCAGGCCTTTCCTTTCCCAATGTAAAATTAACATTACAGGACGTGCGCGCCTTGAGCGGGATTTTGTAGTTCCCTACTTTTAGTAAGTTATCCTTCCTATCTATTACAGCCCCCAACTCTCTTAGTGTGTCATCGCCGATGATTCCACTCAAACCACTTAGAGTTGGTAACACAAAGAATTCGAACCCACTTGAGTTGCCTATATTTACAAATAACTTTTCTTTTACTTTTTCCTTTATAGGAACGGAACCTCAAACAGATGCTACGTTTAAAGTTCGTTTTAACGACTAAGAAATCTAGCGCGCGACCATCGAGTAGCGTATATTCTAAGTATGGTACGCTAGATGACCGCAGGATAGAAAATCCTAGGAATTTTCGTCTTTTGTGGGTTCTTGGTCTTCGTCCTGCGCCTCACCTTCATCTGGGACGGTATGAAACAGTCTTTGCTGTTTCCGAGGTAAATTGTCAGAGCGGGCACCGCGTTTGAAGGGGTTTGGCCTGTTTATATAATTAACGTTACGCGTTTGTACCGAAGGATCTACCTCCGTCTTTTCCACGCGAGAACTCGAGGAGTTATTTTGGTTATCCTCTCTCCCGGAAGGGCGCTCGTTCTTCAAGTACTGAGAACGGTTTTCTTGTGAACGCCATGTAGGTTTCGGCGGTAATTGTGGGGGTTTCCTACTCTGCGGATAAAAGCTACTCGGCAAGTTATTTACCGGCACTACCACGCGATTATTAGAATTATTTGAAGAGTGTATCGCGAGTCCAGCGAAGGTCCCACTAACCCCCATCAAATAAAACACAGTGATTTGTGTATGAAGTTGAACATACCCACACACACACGCGGCTATCTAGAAGGCCGGAAACTTGTCGTACAGGGGAGAGCGGAAGGTAAAGAGAGAGATTCGGGAGTCGGTGTCGGAGATTATTCGACGGGTAATTGTACGGCGACGGGAGTGCTCCTAGTGACAGCAAGATTGGCAGTGGTACGCGTCACTCGTAGCGAAGAGCGTGATATTGAGAGCAATCGCGGTGGTTGTGACGGCGACGGCAATGGCTGCGACAGCAGCCTGCAGTTCCCTTGCAGTGGTGGTGGCGGCCTTAGCGGTGACGTTGGCAGTGGCCCATATGATGCTGAGGGCGGCAGCGACCTCCCGCAGTGGTGCTATATGCGGCCCTGACTGTGGCGAAGGGTGAATGCGTATTTAACTACGACGGTGACAGCAGTACCGTACTTGTGAAGGGTAGTAGCGGCGGCCTGGGGCGACGATAATGGCGGCGGCCCCCGTGATGAAGACAGTAGCAGCGGACCCTGATGGTGGCAACGGTGACAGCGGCCCTGGTTGGCGATAGTTAGCGTTCGCAGTCCTCGGTGATGATGGCGGGCGGCCCACGGTTGTAGCTTCGGCCTTGGGGCGGCAGTGGTAATAGCGGCCCCGGTGATGAGAGCAGCGGTGCGGGCCCTAGCGGTGATGATGATTATTGCGGCGGCCCTGGATGACAGTGAATACAAATATCCGTCCCCGGTAAAGCTTGCGGGCGGTCCTCGGTAGCGATCTCGGCCTTAGGGCGGCAGCGGTACTGGCGGTCCAGATTGGCGACCTGCGGGCAACTGATCATTAGTGCGGTCCCCAGGGCATCGAGAGGTTGCCCAGTCCCCCCGTATGTATTCGTGGCCGCTAGGCGCTGCAGGGAGGTGGTTCGCCCCCTTCAGCGCCCGCTAGCCGCGCGGTATCGCAAGCAGGCAGGGGTGCTCGGAATTGGGCCAGCCCAAACGGACCACGCTCCCTGTCTGCTTGAAACCGTATCCAAAAATGGGTCTAGCCCATAATGGTTTTGGAGTGTTGCCTGTGGGGTATTCCCCCCCATGCAGCCCCCTTCAACCAATCAGTCTTCCTCCGAGGAGGAAAGCCAAGAGCGCCCAAAATAGGCCCGAAGCCCAGGATGCGCTCCGTGCTTACCTACGGACAACTGATGCTGGTTGAGTGCATGCTGGCAGCTTTAGCTTTGGTTTTGTATGAGCTGTTTGAGAAGTGAGTGGGCTTATTCCGCGTTATGTGTTTTGTGTAGCGAATTTCTTCCATATGTTGGTGCACATGATTAGCCAAGTTGGCGTTTGCGAAATTTGTATGTGCTTACCATTCCAGCTTCGTGTATGCGTATGTATGTATGTATGTATGTATGTACATAGGGGGGTTGGTATGGGAGTTTGTGTGTGCGTCTACCAGTGTGTATGTACGTATGTTTATATATTTGTACTTAAGTGCAATTGTAAGGCGTACGCTAGGGTGATGTCGAGTATGTTATTTTAGCGTAGGCGAAGCTACGTTACAGAGTATTACCTCCACCGAATGAACCCAGGACACATCAAATACTTGTAGTTCCTTGACACAGTCAGGAAGCTTACAAATATCGCGTATTTCTGGTTCAGTCGTGGAGGCTTGAGCCACTACCTCCTCTGGTTGTTCTACTGGGCCACTAGTTCCTAGTGTGGTAGCCCTGGAGCTAGCGTTTATACGCGCCACGCCCCTTTCTAGAATGTTAATCTTCTCCAGAAGGGCGTTGACAGCCCCAGTTAAATTCGTGACAGTGGTCCTCAAGTCCTCCATCCTAGAAATAGCAAAAAGATAAATTCGTGGTAATATGCTTACAATACACGGAGAATTGGCATTCGGTAGTCAGTCTGATCCCTTGATTAAGTTATTCCTTAAATTCTTTAATTGGTCTATATCCTTTAATTTATAACTTTATTAGTCCTTTTTTGCGTATATGTTTATTCTTTTAAAATTGTTTATTGTTCTTTGGAGGTTTACACTTTTATTTTTATAACTTGTTCACTCTTTCCACACTTCTGGGTCCCTGCTCGGGCGCCAGTTACGGACGTTCAGTCCGCATAAGTCAAAAAAATTAATTGGGCCAGCCGCCCAAAAGGAAACACAGACTTGTTAAAAATTCACTTAGGTTTTATTAACACTTAACTTCTTACGACTAAGCCTAACACTAAACGTAGTGTATGATAAGCCGTCCCGAACTCGACTGACCGCACGTTGTGGCCGTTGCTTGCTTTCCACCTTCGGTCTCTGGCAGCGACGCAATGGTTGCGTAACATGTTTACAACCCATTGTCTGAGACTGGATTTGGCCTTGATTCCCACGGGTGCATTATGGAATGCAGGTGCCAATGTCTCCCGTTACTCCATATGGTGAAATTAAAATATGCTGCGTGTAACGGCCAACCGTGGGAGCGTCGCAACAAATGCGACTGGTGCGTGTTAACTTATATATTATGCATTTTTTTAAATTTGAATTTTATGAGCTGTTAGACACATGTACTAATATATACTTATGGTTGAATTATTTATATATATATGTATGTATATACGCTTATTTGCATTGTAGTTTATATACGTATATACCCATGTACATATGCACATACAAATATTGATTTATTACGTTGCATAAAGCACAAACAATTGTTATGAGGATAACTGCATGCGGATGGACAAAATGGTATAATAGGAGCAGTGCTAACAAGCATTGCTCATTAGCTAGGCATACGTGGCACGCGTCGCAATGTGGGTCACACGAGTAGTGGAAGAGGGATCAAACCTCCACGTCAGCTGCGCAATTAGCGATACGAAATCAGCTGCTGAATTACCTACAGTGATGAAAAAGTTGGTACAATCGTACCTTGATTTAGTTTGATAGTACATTCGGTACAAACACACACAGCCCTAACACTGAATCCATCGTAGAAAAGTTACGAATTCGAATGTCCGCTACGAATACGAAAGAATTGCTATTACTGAATCCATGTGAACTCGAAAAAAGTGCTGCCAAACTCAAATGTAAATTTTCGGCCATTCGAAATCAGCTGTTGTGAAGTAAACAAAGCGTTTGAGCAAAATTATCATGCTGTAAAACTTCTTAAACTAATATTTTGTTAAAATGGATACCGTAGCTTGTGCGATCGTCTTAATAGAAGAAAATTATCAAAGTAATAACTTAAAAATTCAAAGGAAAACTCTAAGAGATGCGAGTAATCCACTTGATTTAGACGAGGCTATGTAAGTAAAACAAAAATTTTTATTTCAAATGATTTGATACGTTTTTTTTTTCTTTTATGTGCTCGGTGAGTTAGAGGCGGGAAGCGCAATTCATGCCAGGTCAACATCAATGAATCAAATCACACGCCTGGCATCTGTGCTACGCTTTCTTTCGGAAGGCAGCTATCAACACGGCGTTGGAAAAGATTTTGATGCACCAATGGCTCAATCAACGTTTTCCGGTATTTTAAAATCCACACTAGCAGTCCTGCAAGCACGTTTATGTCCTCATTGGGTAAATCTGAATATGACAGACGAAGAAAAACAAAAAGCCAAAAGGCATTTTTATACCAAGTATAGGCTTCCGGGCGTTATTTTGTGTGTGGATGGAACGCATATAAAAATCGTTTCACCAAAGGAGGACATATTTCTTTTTTATAATCGGAAAGGTTTCTTCAGCATCAATGCCATGATTGTAAGTATATGCTTGCAGAAACCAAAACTGAAAATTTGTATACATTTTTATTTTATTTTTAAAGATTTGTGACAGTGAAATGCGAATCAGGTACGTCAATGCAGAATTCCCAGGATGTAATCACGATTCTCACATATGGAATGTGAGTAGTGCAAGGTCCTTTTGTGAGAGGAAATATTTAGAAGGCGAGAGGAATTGCTTATTATTAGGTACATACAAATTTACTATGGATGCACGCATATGATTGTATGATATTTATGATATTTTTCATAGGTGACGCCGGATATGCATTGGAGCCATGGTTAATGACTCCGTTTCGTTCACCACAATTAGGTAGCCCAGAGAGTGTATACAACAAAGCACACTCAAAAGCAAGGAATATAGTGGAAAGAACTATTGGAGTTTTGAAAAGTCGTTTCAGATGTCTTTTCGGAGCTCGTGAACTCCACTACGAACCCTCAAAAGTAAGCCAAATCGTGAACGTGGCAGCGGCTTTACACAACATTTGCTTGCACTACCGCGTTATAGATGATGTACCAGAATATGTTCCAGAACCATTATCCCTCAGCGAAGCCCATGAAACAGCAGCCACTAGCACTAATGAAGCCGCATCACAGATTAGGCAATCCATTTTGATGACACTTTTATAATAAATACTGATATTTATCTAATTAGCAAAATAAACAAAACTATTTGAAATTCATTTTATTTCTTTATTTAGTTATTTTATTCACACTTAGTTTTTTTATTTTTATCTAACAAATCTAATTTTCTTAGCTCTATTTATAACATTTCTTGCTTTATTTTTTTCAGCAACCAAGTTTGAATACGCAAGGTTATGTCGTCGCATTTCAGCAAGTTCAGACTTTTTTAGTTCGTACGTCTTATCTGTTAGTCGACACAATCGGCGGACACTTGATGCAATATCCTCCAACTTCTCTTCCTGACGTTTAAAATGCTCTTTGCTTTCTCCATAAAATTCATTTTGCATCTGTACTTGCTCTCTCAGTACGCTTAATGTTTCCGAGTCCGTTCGTTTTTGTGGAGTGGAAGTACGTCGTGGCAGTGATGAACCACAAGCTTCCGACACCATGGACACATCAGCATCGGTTTCGGGGCCTTTTTCCTGAGGATCTTCAGGTAGTCCGACACTAACTGTGTTTTTGCAGCCTGAGGTGCAGACTTCTAACTCTGCTAGATTTATCACTCCCTCCTCCAAATCTGTAAAACTATGCTGCCGATGTCTTCCGCCCCCCATAGCTGTCTGCTCCCTTTTATTTTCCATGAGCTTGCGTTTGACAGCACTTCCAATCACACCACACCTAAAATATTTAGAGTGTTTAAAAACTTTGTGAACTTGTACATACTACCCTGCCCACCTTTAGTTGAAATATTTCTGCTTCAAGATTGTGTGAACTAAAGGTGTGAAGTGTATGGACTAAAATGCCTTACTTTTTTCCACGTAGACACATCTTTTATAAGCGGCCCAATACTATTCAGTTCTTTTGCAACGTTTTCCCAAAATGCAGTCACTTCCTCCTTTGAGTACCTAGTAAACCCTTGTGCTATATCTGGTTTCTCATTCAACATTTCCAGCAAACAGGAATACTGTTGTCGCGTCGTCACAATTTTAGACCTGTGAAAAATTATTAAAAATTTTTTTTTTTACTAAATTTGTTAATTTTATCAAATTTACTTACATTGTATTGGTTCGATATGCTTTTTCTTTTATTTTCGCTTATTTCAATATTCTCCCGCCAACTAAAACTCGTCGTAGAAAATTTGTTCGATTTGACATTTCGAGTGGGTTCATTGAAAGCAGTCTACGAATTTCGAAATTAGAATACGTAGACTCTACGAAAGTCATGCCTACGATGGATTCAGTGAACGCAATTTCATAGATTCTACGAAAATCGAACTTACGATGGATTCAGTGATAGGGCTGGTAATTTTAGATATATTTGGAATGTAGCCAAATAACTTCTCAGGAAATAAGTTCTTATTTTTATTGACATTTCAACGCATTTTCTGGTGCGGGCAGCTAGTCTAATAGCTTTCCTCCTTTGTGAAGGGGCATACAAAGATACAGCAGGGTGGTCAAAGTAACGCATCTGTAGTTGATTTCGCCAGATAGACGGAAAATATTTCTTTTTAAAACGTCAGATCGAAGAACTGAGAGGAAAGTGATTTACCTATCTACAACATAGCTTTGTCTCGCGCTGCTCGAAGAGATTCTTTTCATAGCCAAAATTTGTTTAATTTGATTACAGAAGTTGATATGGTACCGATTAGAATTGTTATCCTCCTATTTTCTTTACGTAGAAATACCTATTTACTTTTTAGGTGCATCTATCTACTTTTAGGTAAAGTTTTCCGTAGATTAGGTACAATTTTATAATTCAATTTTCTATCCCTGATGGAATATCAGCTGTAAAAGAGAACCAGAAACAGACAGCTGATTGCTCTTTGTTTAATAAACATACCTCCAAGTCAAAATGAAACATATCAAGCAGGGTTGCATAGAGAATCTGACACAAATTAATTGCCAATTAATTATTAACTGGCAATTAATAATTTGAATTTTTGTATGATAAATTGGGTAACAATTAAAGCTTAAATTGGTGAAGACGTTCTTAATTGCCAATTAGACGCCTGTTTGAACATAGTCTTAGTACGTTTATGCGGCAGAATTCATGAATTCTTCATTTCATGTATTCAGAAATGGTTCCGTTTATGCATAGTTCGCGAATTCATGAAATGAAGTGTTTTGAAAAAGTGGCGGTGCACCAGCGAGAAACTAAGCGGTGGGGTTGTAGTTTTTGTTTCCTTTTTTTAATTTGCAACAGCCGTTGGTACCAGGAAATGGTCCATATTATATTTAAATTGGTTTTTCTGTATTTGAATTTCTTCTATTTAAATTTACTTATATTTCAACAAATCCACGTAAATTTTCCAGTGTTTTAAATCGTGGTTATGTTACTCATACTTCTTAATCTAAACAAATAATAACCCTAGTAAACAGCTGTTTGTGAAACGTGGCGTTGCCGGACTGGCACTTCAAGATTTCATGAAATCATGCGAAATCCATGGTTAGTTTTCGTGTATAATTGAATTCATCAAATTGTGTTTATGCGACTAATTTTAACCCAAATTCATGAAATTTGCGTACGCATAAACGTAGTATCTGATGAACATATGTGAGGATGATATCAAGGCCAACTCATATGAGGTAGTTTTACAGGGGAAGTTGAAATTTTCGCTCCGGTGTCCGGCGACCGTTGGTTAAACTTGGTGATGTTTTGCTGTGGATTGCATCGCTTGTGGGCCTGTTGAATGAATTTGTGTCTTGGTTATATGAAAGATCAAAAAATTTTGATTTTCTGGCAAGTTCTCGCTGTAAGTTAGCGTATTGCACAGCTGCAAAGCTAAAACAGCGGTTTGATGATTCCTTACAATCCCTCCCACGCCTACATAGCTTCTTGGATATTTGTAAACAGACAACAGCTGCCAAGCTGATCGACAATTCTTCAGAATCACTCCCACGCTTGTCTTGCCATTCAGTTACATTCCAAAACGGACACCTGATAGCGTACGAGACTTTGGGCAGTTTTCGGCAGGGCAGCCGGCAATGCATTCATACCAACACACAAACAGAGCTACCGGCGCATCGATACTAAGTCAGCGAGCTCGGGCAGCGCATCTACACCAATATACACACATCGACGAATCAGCGAGTAGCTACAAACCGCAAGTAGGGAACTAGGGTAGATTGTAAGTGAATAAAGTTTAGTTCTGGATTAACATCAGGAGAATAAAGTTGTAATTTGCAAGGAGAACCTGCTTTAATACTATACTACAACGCAAATACTACTGTAAGTAATTGTTCGATTTTTCGTGTGATCCAGTGAAATAAGTGCAAAAAAGAAAACAAACAAAAAAAAAGTAATTTATTTTTATTGTGAGTTTTTCTTAATTAATATCAAAATGAGTGTAACAAGAGAGCAGGTAATTGAGATTCTGAGACAACAACATGAACAAAATAGAAGACAATTTAATGCGCATTTAGATGAAGTTATGCAAACACTTCGGCGCTTAGAGCAGCCATCTGCAGAGAATTATCTTCCAGTAAAAATAGATCCAGCTGTGGTTAACAGCAACACAAATATGGATCTAATAAAATCCTTGCAAGAATTTAAGGGTGATACCGCATCCTATCCGGCTTGGCGTTCCGCAGCGGAATTCGCCATCGGCTACTACACGGAGGGTTCGGAGCAATATTATATTGCAATGGGAATTTTTCGAAACAAGATAGTAGGCTTAGCGAACACAACGCTCGGTTCCTTTTCAACTGTGTTGAATTTTAAAGCTATAATAGCTAGGTTAGATAAAACATACGCGGATAAAGGCCGTCACATGTTTTGGAAACAGAACTCAGTGCTTTAAGGCAGGGAAATTTGTCACTCTTGCAATATTATCACACGGTGCACAAACAATTAACACTCATAAAGAATAAAACACAATGACTCACTCCAACAACAGGGAGCTTGCTGCCGCGCTCAATGATAGAGCTAGGGAAAATGTATTAAGGGTCTTTATTTCCGGCCTAAAGCGGCCTTTATGCGATATTCTATTTTCGGCCAATCGAAAAGATTTGCCTTCCGCGCTGGCTACTGCCCAGGAGTTAGAAAATAACCGTATGCGTTATGATTTTGCTAGAATATTTGCAAGCAGTAACAGTTAACAGCGTCACGAATTCAGATAGCCCAAAATATCAGAACAATTATTCAAGCACTCCCCAAACGCCTAATGACACTCCTACTCCAATGGAGGTAGACCGCGGATCCTCTGCATTCCGACGTACAAAACAGTCCGACCAGGGTTATAAGAAGGACAATGCATTGGGAGGGCATCCCAAAAGAGATGCTAATCAATACGCGAATAAACGGGATCGCGAACAAGGGTATTCAGTAAATTCACGAAACCCAAAGGTGCAACCGACGAATCATTTGAAGACATCCCAAGAGGTAGATCCATCAGAAAAAGTTACTGTGGATCGTGACAGTGATTCAGATATCGAGATCGTTTCTAATTTTGCGATGGAAGATGAAATGAATTTTTTAGCGTAAGGTTGCTCCTACCCTGCATTACCAAGAACACGTCGGAGGGGCGGGAGCTTAGACTGTTAATTGATATATCACTATATCAAAAATTTGAGTTTCTTAAATGGAATTACCTCTGTGGAGAGACAGTTTAAGGTCGAGTCAATAAATGGGTGTAATCTCATAGAAAAAAATGCAAGGTTATCCTTTTGGGAAAAGCATCAATTTTCTTTATTCTTACAAATTTAAAAAGCTTCGATGGTATGTTATCCATGTTGTGAATAAAAAAGGCCTAGATCAATACGGTTAACAAAAGCTCCGCATGGTCATCGAATTTCGAAAATTAAACGAAAAAACGATTGCGGATAGATATCCTATACCAGATATTTCTACCATACTAGCAAATCTGGGTAGTTCCAAATTTTTTACCACTTTAGATCTAAAATCTGGCTTCTACCAGATAATCCTTGAAGAGAAGGACCGCGAAAAAATAGTCTTCAGCATAAACAATGGAAAATATGAGTTTAATAGGTTGCCATTCGGTTTAAAGAATGCACCCAGTATTTTCCAACGGGCCATTGATGATGTCCTGATAGACGAC